TATACACACAAAAGAAAAAAAAAATCAAATCTACTTGGAATGAATTAGCAGTTTTGTCCAAATGGAAAACACTACAAGGCTCTACTCGGCAAGCTGATCCAAGGAATAAGGTGTGAAAAGCAGCTTAGGGTTTACCTGAACTCTGCAGCAGCAGCTTCTTCCAAAACCCAGCATCCACTTTTGCAAAGGATAGTCTCTTCTAGTGAGCAACCCCTGATGATTCTAAAGTTGAGGTTTGGAACTTTGCATGGGGAATGAGTCTTCCATCACTAATAATGAGAAGTCCTCTGGAAACAACCAGGAGTTTTAAATCACCCGTAGGGCTGCAATCAAGATTCTAGAATTCCGACTTTGACGGTTCCTTTGATGGTTTTGCAGGAAGTCAATGCCGACATGGACCTAACAAGTAAGAGTCGACACTGAAAATGGACTTGAAGTTCCAACAGAAGACAGGTATAGCCGGAGAAAACAACCAGGAGTTTTAAATCACCGGGAGGGCTGCAATCAAGATTCTAGAATTCCGACTTTGACAGTTCCTTTGATGGTTTTGCAGGAAGTCAATGCCGACATGGACCTAATAAGTAAGAGTCGGCACTGAAAATGGACTTGAAGTTCCAACAGAAGACAGGTATAACTGGAGAAAATATGGGCAGGACATTTCTGGAGCTAAATATCCCAAGTTAGCAGTAGTGCACTGCAAAAAATATTATACACAAGCTATTAATTTTGGGGGAACAAAGCTATGGAGTATAAAAAGACATACAAAAACAGGTAATAGCAGACCCTTCGTGGATGCAGGAGCTATATATTACAGATATACGTCCCGCCAAATGCAGAAGCGTTGGGCAACCAAGCAAGCTCAGAGATCTGATGGAGACCCATATGATTTTTTACATCACATACAACGGCACTCACATATGCAATTTCTAGAAAATCGAAAACCCAAACAACCGTATCATAAGAATAAGAATCTACAGACAATGTAATCAAATGAGATGCTAATGATAAACCAAAGAGCAAACCTCAGAATCAACACGAGGCTGCATATTCCTTTGCATTTCCTCCAACATTCTCTGGAATGAAATACTCTCCCAACCCTCTGTCTATCCTGCCACTCCGGAGTCAAACTGCTACTCGGCTTCACCCCAACTGGTGGAAATCTTTATGGGAGCTCATAACTCTTTCCACATTGACATTATCTCTGTCAATGCACCATCCACAATTGTGGGCTTAGACTATTCACTAAACATCTCAAGTTTAGCCCCAAAAATTCCATTCAAGTGATTTGGAGTTTCGAACAAAACCACAAATCAAAGAAGTAAAAAAGCAGTGAATAAGAATCAACTTTTGGTTTTTTAACCAAATGCGATTATGACTTGATGATTTTTGCAGCCGCTGTATTTTATATTGGAAAACTACCAGTGTCCTTGTGACTCATATAAAGATATCTATCCTTAAATCTATGCACAAGTATAGATTATATAACTTGGTAACCTGGAAGTATTATCCAAGGATCAGAGCATGTGTATTGGTTATATAAATAACAAACCAATCAGTTGAATATGTGCTTAAAGGATCCCAATGCAGTCAATGTTTGATTAATTTGTATCTTGCCTTCCCAAACTGTATCATATTCTAATTAAGGAACATTAATGGAGCTAAATGTGAAGCATGAGTTACAAAGATTTTTGTTACAGACCAAAAGGAAGAACTCAACCCAAAAGACTAGTCTGATAGGTGAGAGAACCCATTTGGCCTATAAACCCTACATCAATTGCCCATACAACCGATGTGGGACAAGTCACATACCTTGCAATGCTTTCAGTCCATATCATTCGCCCCTCCTTAAGGACCAACGTCCTCGTTGGTCACGGCCACGTTGGTCACGGCTGGCTCTCTCCAGGCCACCACTCCGAAGTTGGCTCTAATACCACTGTTACAGACCAAACGGAAGAACTCAACCCAAAAGACTAGTCTAATAAGTGAGGGAACCCATTTGGCCTATAAACCCCACATCAATTGCCCATACAACCGATGTGGGACAAGTCCCATACCTTGCAATGGTTTCAATCCATAACAATTTTACCATGAGGAAAGACCATATAAAGAACGCACATCTAAAGAAACTTTAGAAAAATCAAAACAATTTATTTGTTCATTACAAGAAATGATGCAAACTGTTCAGCACTGAAACTATTGACCTATGTAGAAGGTGTATCTAGTAGTATCTGAAAACTATCCATCCTGTCAATCAGAGGGTTAGAGTTCCTGATATCTCATTCAAACGATGAACCACTTTTCTTTTCATATCCTCCATGGCCACTCTGATCTCATCAAGCTCTTCCAAGCCCATAGCATCCACATTGAAATAGCTCTCAATATCTACATCGTCATTACTCACCGCAGCAGCTGGAGGAGGAGAATCATCTACAGACGCCTTATCCTTCACATGCTGCGTCTGGCCGTCTGCACAGACTGTGTCAACCGGCAAACATTGTTGTTGTTCAGAATGGGCATTATAACGGTTCAAAACAGACTCCACGGAAGGGTAGCCATAGACAAAGGCGTTTCCGGCCAACGAGAAAGTAATGACGGCGGCCTCGGCGTCGCAACGCTTGCAGAGCTCGTTGACCTTCTTGAACAGACCTTGGCGGCGCTTGGTGAAGGTAGTGTGTCTCTTGGCTTTGTCCTCAATCCTCTTGATTTCCACCTTCGTTCGCACCATTATTGCACTCTCCAACCTTGGAATCGATGATAACAATTGATAAGGAAAGTAGGTAGGGTTATTGGGGTCTATGTATTAAGAAGGAGAAGAACCCCAACTTTCCAAGAACTAATATGGAAGTAGACATGTAATGAGAGTAAAACAACCCAAGAAACCCCTCGATTTTTTGGATTCTCGGAATCTATTCTAAGCCCTCTCCGTCCTTTTCTATTTGAAGGTTAAACAAGTGTACGGGTTCGTATAGATTCTGAATTGCTGACCAGTTCTTAATTTAATTTTCTTTATTTTAATTTTTTAATAATCATATAATACTATGTACTCCCTCCGTCTTAGAGTATTTATCCACTTTTATTTTTACACATCATCCAATTGCACTACTTTAATCCATTTTATCTTGTAATTTGTATATTAAAAAAATTTAGAAATTATATATTAATAATCTTTATGTTAAGACAAATCAAACAAGATCACACATGACTATATTTAGGCTTACACATTGAGAGAATTTGATGAGTGAAAGTGCTTAGATGAACCGTTCCAAAAGTCAAAAGTGAACAAAAACTGAGGGACGGAGGGAGTATGTGTTATATAAATTTTTTATATAAAGATGTATATATTTAAAATTTGTATAATAATTTTTTTGAGAAATACTAAAATAAAATTAATGATGGATATTTTTAAAAATTATATACAATGTTATTTTTATAATTATAATGCTCCCTCCGTCCCAATTTAAATTGTCTTTTCTGGTTTACGATGTTTGACTTAAGTTATTTCCAATGCAATTTATTAGAGAATTGAAGCAAGTTTAAAAACTTAACTTTACGTAGTAAAACCACATCAAAAACTCTACAAAACAATAGGTGACATGACCATATTATTTTATCAAAAATATGTTATAAAAATTTGAAGGTTTTATTAATCTTTAATATTAATAATGATTATTTTGTGTTAGAAAGTGAAGGATTTTATAAAGAATTTGATAAAATTAATTCCTATTTAATGGTTAACACATACTTTGTGTTATTGGCGTATGTGTTTAGGCATTATCAATAATGAATTTTTTAAATCTATTAGAATTGCACAAATGATTGTTTACAAATAAATTAAACTTTAATTATAATGAATCTTCATACTCCATAAAAACGTTATTTTAAAAAAATAAAGTGAAGTACATGAAAAAAATTGCAAGATAAAAGATATCATAATATAAAAAATATAATATATTATTACATGACATGACATATGGCAACACATGACATGTAAAAACACATGAAATGATATTTGGTAGAAGAAAGCTTATGTGGCTACACATGGCGTGACACTTGGTAAAAAGTCCTACATGACATGACACATGGCGCAACCACAATTAATCCGCTCCACTTTATATATATACACTAGTATATTAACCCGTGCCACGCACGGGTTTAAATGAATTTTTTGTCAATTCAAAAAATATTTTGCAATGTAATATTTTTACAGATTAGAGAAAATATATTTGTAACATGATTTTTTTAAAAATATACATTAGCAACAAAGTAGAATAATAATACTGTATCAATTAATATTTTGTCACGAAATTGAAAGAGTACATGACAAAGTGCTTCTAATGATTCATGTCACCTACAATTCATTGGAATTTTGGCAAGTGTGTCCCCAATGGTCGCCATCTTTTCACGTGAAAAACATAAACATTAACTCCTCATATAACAAAAGTGCATAAAATGATTAAAATACCGACAATATGCACCTTTTTAAATTCATATCTATGCTAAGCGCAAACTCTTGTAAGATGATACAAATGATGAAGCGACTTAAGATAAGCTTACACATTTACACTATGTTTGGTTCAGAATTTGGTAGAAAAGAAAAGAATAAATTTTGAAGGAATAACCAAAACTGAACTCTTATGAATAAGTCAATTCTTAAGTTTGAACTTGTCCTAAGTTTCTACTTTCTTAGGGGTGCAAACTGCCTGTTAAGCCGTGACTTTGCCCAGGAATCCATGGCTGGTTTTTGTGGTGGCTGTGGAGTGAGTGGTTCTGATTGTCTAAGTCCATTCTCTTTGCCCATGAACCTGCCAATGCAAATTTTTCAAATTGAGCAAATTTGTCCATTCTATACTGCACCACATTCTCCTAAAAGATTACGATTAGAGACTTTATAGTCTATTCGCAACTGCAAGAAAGAAAAATACATAGTTGTATATATTTAGTTCTTTTGTAAAAATACACTTGAAAATAAAGGAGGAAAAAATGAAAGAGAATGCCAATAGCTGAAAATCTAATAAAAATTTGACCTCCAAATTTTAACCGAGACACCAAAGCTGGGCTTGGAGCTCTTTAAGATGACCAGCTTGGGCAGTGTAAGAAATAATTGGGAAAAAATACCATTGTGTGCTCAAGTTCTCCCAACCACAGAACTCTACCTCCTTACCCCATTACAACCCCATCATGATCTTGTATAATATAAATATGCCAAGTATACATCTCTAATAAAACTAAACTGCACTCATGAAATACAAACATGGATTCATCTTCTTATAGGGTATCGTAAAGGTTGTGTTACATCTCTGATAACCAGCGTGTAGGATTAAGTAAAGAGGAATTTACATAAATAGCACTAAAATATAATGACTTTTCCTAAATAACACTACATATGTTTTTTTCCAATGTAGCACTTTTAGTCATTATCCATTAGTCATTATTCAAGTAAATGTTTACGATCACTCATCATTATAGACACTATTAAGTACTATTTAGAGAATAAACAATTAAAGTGCTATTTAAAGAAATAACTTAAGTTTTAGTGCTATTTAGTGCAAATATTTCTTAAGTAAATAATAAAGTACCCTTATACTTCTTACGTTAAACAGCGTGTAGGATTAAGTGAATAATAAAGTTGCCCGGGAATATATTTATTATATACTTTGAGATGAATGTAAAAAAAATTTTAATGCATTTTTAAAATTTTATGATGAATAATATCTAAAAATATACTTTGTAATTTTTAGTGCAACAGATATATGATATCCTTCATAAAAAAATATATGGATACATGTGCAAATATATTCTTTGTTAATTTCTAAATTTAATCAGCAACGCACACAATAAAGAGATTACATTTTTTTAAAATTTTTCCATTTCTAATCAATAATAATTTAGGATATAATTGGATATGCTTTGATTATGTGATTCATTTCAATCTACATCATATGTTAATAAAACCAATCACAATTTCTATTAAAAATTAACTTTCTACTAATTACTATGTAATACTCCATATTTATTAAATGCTTCATATTAATTTTTTCATTCCGTTCATAAAATATAAAATCTTAATTAATTCATTTGTGCGGGAATTGCACGAGAATGTAATTCATTTGTATAAAAGTATAAGAGTACTTTAAATTCCCTGTTGTTTGTTTTTCATATCTTCGAAACAGTTCCCATCACATTGCCCGGCAATGTCATGAGGTGACCCCGGGCCCAGGAATGCTCGATTGCCTGATTCTAAAAATTAATAGTTTCTAACCCTCATCCTCCGGTAAACACCCCCACCTTGAATGGTCCGAACACACTTCCCACCTCCTTCAATTGCACCTCACTTAGGGACTGTTTGGCAACTTCTGAATAGGTAAGTGCTGAACTAGTAAGAGGTCTGAACCATTAAGTGCTGAACCAGTAAGAGGTCTGAACCATTAAGAGCTAGTATATTGCTTAACTATTCAGAGGCAAATGTCTGATCAATTCAGATAAGAGGTCTTAACCATTGAGACTCTGCATAATACTTAACCATTCAGAGGCAAATGTCTTAACCATTCAGACATCTGAACCATTAAGAGGCTGAAACAAACAGTCTGAACCATTAAGTGCTGAACCATTCAGACATCTTAACCATTAAGAGGCTGAAACAAACAGCCCCTTAGTTCTTTGTCGGGCACTCACTCTCTTTTTTCAGAACAAATATTAGTAGAACCTTCTTAATGGTAATTAACACATCCATAATAATTGCAGTAGCTCTATTTCACTGCACCTTACAAAATTCAATTTATTAGAGCAGTTACAATAATGCCTGTAACACCCTAATCCGTCCAGGTCTGCAGCCCCTTTCGGACTAAAGTATTAAGTTGGTATTCGTAAAAATTTAAAACATTTCAAACATTTTTATTTATCACAATAATATTTTTCATATCATAACAGTACATAGCTTTCAATATTGCGGAAGCTTAACAAATCATAATCACAAACATAATTTATTTATATTCTTTAATTCAAAACCATCACATTCATTCCGACTATCTCGCCTCCGTCTGCCTCCAGGATCACGTCACATCATTCTATTGACCTGCGTGTAGCAAATAAAACACACTACACGCTCAGCGGTAAAGCTGAGTAAGTATATCTAATGTGTCGAACATCCACATAAATTGAATCTCAATTCATAATCAACCATTCGATATCATGCACATAATGTTCAGTTCAAATATTCAATAATCAATATTCAATTTTCAACATTCATTATTCAATCATTCAACATGTATATACGTCATTCATATTCAACATTTATTTTATTCAATATTTATCATTTGTCATTCAAAAATATCCTTAAACTGTTCTTAGTCTAAGGCCAATCTATGTTACCAACTCTTAAACGAATTCTAGTTTAATATAATTAAACTATATTTCAGTTTAAGGTACTCCTAAATAATCCTTAAGCTAGGCCTAGTTTAAGATGAAGGGTTTCCAAAATCTTAAACTTACCTTCGATTAAGG